TTTAACCAATCAAACTGCATAACTGTTCAAAACTTCATATAACAGCTTGTAGTATCCATTAGTTATGGTTGGGTGTATTATTTCGCTATTTGGCTAATCTTAGATATTCCCAACTTTTGAATTTTGTATAGGTATGTCTACCATATTCATTTGTCCAGTCAAGTTTAGATTAGTATAGCGGACACTATAAAAATATCGGTAGTATAGTAGTGGACACCTCGAAACAGAAGTACCATCAGGTGTTTTGAAAGGAGTAAGCATGATCAGTTTTGCGCGCGACACCCGTCACTACTATATAGGTCAAAATCATGAGATACAACCAGTTCAATTCATATCTGACCAAACAAATCATTTATTGTATTTAACATAAAGTTCTCCATAACAACCATAAAATTTCTTTGATTGGTGTGGTAACGGTGTTCAAGGACATGATGTGTAAGGGATATTTAATCTATTGTTATTTTCTAGATACGGATGTGATCAGTAAACACAATGAAGAACCAATAGTAACTAGTAGTATGGTGGATTTAACACAGTATAATATCCATACTACATCATCATCAACCAACCAGCTCTATTCATCATCTTTAATCATCTTCGTCTTCATCATCTCTTCTTTGGTTTAATTATATATATAGTCTCTCAGATTTGTCGAGGCCCTGTGATTTAACGAGACCCTATGATTAAGCAGTTCACTTGGAACTTCGGCTCCAGTAATCCACCCGCCCCCCTTTTTCAAATTTTTTATCCTTTTGTATAGTGAAAGAATGGTTTGTGTCCCCTGGAAAATTAATTTTGTGGTCCCTGCTCGACCCCGTCACCCAAAGTTTCCTAGAAACCCCACTGTAATAAAGTCCATAATTTTAACCAATGAAAGCTGATGATGTTAAAATATTGTTAGTGTAAGTTTTAGGTTGTTTGAGTAAGATTCATATTTAAAATAGATGTTAAAAAGTCGACTTTCAGATTGTACAAAAACACAAGCAACTAACGTAAAGGTTTTCAGCCTGGGGAGCTATTACCTCCAAGGGGTACTCAGGCGCTTTGTTGGATAATATGATTTAATTCTGTCCGGCTATGTTCGCCGACATGAAAAAGATTGCAGGAAAACCTAAGTTAAAATCAATAAATAGTAAAATAAATTAGGGTGAAGGGTAATATAATCGATCAAGGAACCTGAAAGGGGTAATAGAAAGAAATAGGTTGAAAACCCCTGGCCCCGTATTCTCGAAACGATCTTAGCGCTAGGATATCCTAGAATCTATGATAGAAGATAACAAATTAGGACATCCTAGCGCTAAGATCGTTTCGAAAATACAGGGCCTGAACAGTAATCGGTGTAAGCAGCTCTCAAATTTTGCCAGATGCAAGGTACACGAAGATTTGAACTTAGAGCACTAGCCAGACATACTGGTAACAGTGGCGGAGCCAAAAGGGGGAGGGGCAGAGGGGCCAGAAATGAGTCATTCGGGCAATCTCAGATATTTCACCCTCTCCCCCCTCCTCGAACGTAAACCTGTCTCCGCCACTGACTGGTTAATGTTGTATCGAACAACTCTGCAATTTTCTTTTTGGTCATATGATAAGATGCAAGGTCGAACTGAACCCTGTTTGAGACATTAAGTAGGAATATTGTTTAGGAATGTTTAGTTACATGTATATAGTCAAATGTTTAATGTGAGATCTTATAAAGATCGAGTTTGTTTTTGTGTTCAAATTAACATGTGATGTTTATGAAGCTATAATACTAGACATTTTATATAAACTTTTAATACGAATATACGTTTTATGTTTTCGGAATTATGTTTGGCTTATTGGTTCCTAACGCTGACTTTTATTTCCTCGGTTCGGAAGTCAAGGGGCTTCAACTAGTTACAGGCCACCTAGCAAACCCTACAAACCCTTCCCTAAAGCATTATAAAGAGTATGGGTGTGGAAGAACCATAGACTTATACAATAAAAACTATTTAAAAATCTACGCGAACCTTCTGTTGGTAGTCGTGCACAACATTGTCGTTGGTTCTTCCTGTCTCTCAAGCTGGACCTCGCCAAAGTAGACCCAATTTCAATGAGTTTGGTGGCTGGGGCGACCTGAACACCAGTGGCGTACCCCGTATGATCTGACTAAAATGCAGCTTCAGATATTTCGCTTCTCTTTGTGTGTTGTTCCACTCTCTGCAGAACGCTCGGTGAGGCCCCGTGTGCTACAGATTGTAGACTTTGAAGATCCCTAGACAAGTTGGAAATTAAAAAAGAGCAGGCTAATGCCACTGTCCTGGCAAAATTACCCTCATTGCACCCTGAATGGCGTTTCCCGTCTTCATTAACCCACATGGTGCAGAAAAGTAGTGCGTAAAACTCCATTCATTGCATTTAATTTTTGAACCAAGATCGACGAAATGGTAATATAAGTAAAAAGTATCAAACCACTGTAAACGACTTTGGAAAGCATAGTGAAGTATGTTGGTTGAACAATTTCATGAAAGCATGAATGTAACAATATTCTAGTTTAGATGAAAAGCATGTGCAAATTACTTACTGACATTTATGATTGTGAATTCGAATGAATAATGGATCTATATTTCTTTAACCTTGTCCCCTTTTAACCGTGCACTTGTATGTATGCTCTCTGTTCATCGCTTTAAAAATGTCGATATATATACTTACGTGGAAGCGTCCCACCATAAGCTAAAAATAAATACCATTTCTCTGTAAGGTTAAAGTTCACAGCACCATTATCGTCAAATCTCGGCAAAGAACTTTGGGTGAAGCGACAAAATAATCGACCATCTTCTTTTTTGGTTTCGACATTTGTAAAATTTTGCTGAAAGAAACATGGTGTATGGTAGTCCGAAACATCTTCCTCTGTGCCAGTCTCTGGTGGATATTTTGACATCAGTCCAAATAGTTATCTGGTTATCAGAGGCTGCATTAAGCCTAGTTGTATTGTTAATACATGTACATGTATATGTGAAGGCGTAAAAGCGAAGTTCTACTGGAATTTTAGAAACAAGACCATTTTGAAAATATTGTACTGCATCAAAAACAGAATGATCAATATCAATGAAAAGAATTGGACAAATGGTATTAGCGATAAATGTATGAAAATTTCAATTTTTGTTCTAATTCTCAATCGGAACATTTTAGTGTGTCATCATCATCATCATCGTGTGACTTCTACATTTCTTAAATACATTTATTCTTACTCAATTTGAAGACGTTATGCATTTACTTTTTCTGGTTAGTTTCTTCGGCAAAAATATTATTGGGTCACATGATTGATAGTTCTAATTAAATCGTTTTACACGCTCGTGGATTAGGACATAATGTGTTACAATGCAGCGAAGAAATGAAATGAAACCAAGTGTTTTATGACATCACTAATTGTATAATATGCAAAATCAAACTTTTCGATTAGTGACGTCATAAAACGCTTAGTTTTAGTGAAATTGCAGAACCACAGACGGCGGATTAAAATTTGGAATGGTGCAAATTGATGATATCAATGTCCACGATACACATCAAAATTTTAGAAAACAATCCCTTTAAATCTACATAATCATTTATCATTCGAGACATATTTTTAGATTGAGTTTCGACGACTTACCGTGTATTGTCGGACATTCCATACATCAGGGTTATAGGTGTACTGAACCTCCACATTATCAGGACCAGTGGTACACAGGAAAGCTAGGTCCTCACCCTGCAAATAGTATAACATCGGAGGGCATTTATTACCTGGAGCGTCTTTATCTTAGAAGGCTCTGTATAGTGAAGAAATTCGACTCAGTGCTGCTATTTTAGTAGGCGTGGCTTCCAACTTTTCAACCTCAATCAACCATCTTCACAGTGTCACAGCTATTATGAACATCTTCTCATACCTTGACTACAAAAGCTACCTTTCTAGTATCACAGAAGTTTTTGAATGCAGCGATTTGATTGCATCGTACGCCAGCGAATACAACCAATCAGAGGTATATCCATGATACAAGAATAGTAGCTATTGCAGTCAAAGTATAAGAAGAAGTTCGTAAAAACATTGTGAAGATATCAATCAGTATGAATAGATATATACAAGGTCACATCTAATACATGTAACTCCAAAATGCATCCAGTAAATCCAAATTAACTTTACATGCGTTATCATCAACATGAAGTTTCCAAAAAGTTAAGAACCAAAATCACAGAGTGGCACTAAGTGATTCGCAAGATTGTTAATGTCCTCATAACTTAGGCTAGGCCATCTTTACATTGATAAAGATCATGCGCTAGAAAATAACTTAAAAATTCCGAGATTCCGAAGTTTACAAAACAAATATGACAAATGTATTTTTTTCTATTAAACACAAGGTTTAAGGTCACCAGGTTTATCTGGTTTGTTATCAGTGTAAACATACTCCAGTATTTTATATAGGGTAGGATCATGTTTACCTAGATAATGTCGAAACAGCAGATCACTAGAACATGCATGATGACCTCCACATCTAAAATAAAAGATAATAAAGGGTGTTACAAAGCGGAGTAAAGGAGATTACTTCTAGCATATAGCAAATTCTCTATGACTCAATATGATTGAAAATAGATAACAATTTCGTATTAAAAATATCAGAAAACTAAAAAGATACGAATTTGAAATTTTATTTCAATTAGATTGATTTTAACCAAGAATAACGCAAGTCTTTCAAGTCATCGGAAAGTGCTTTTACGCAAACAAGATATTAACTGCTTTAGTGTTTTACAACAAAATTCCACGGTAGTCATATTTGGTTCTCGAAATATCACTCGATTGTTCCCATCGCCAACAAAATTTCTCGTATAAAGTAGCAATAATCTATCATCTGATTTTCATCTGGATTCGAATCACTGTCTGTATGGAGATTTACACTACTCATGGTGTCAAAAGACGATGATACTTATGTATTTTGTGTCGACTTCATTAATTACTGCCTAGTTATCAAACTGTCTTTGTCTGAATCAAGCGACGTATGCTAACGTTATCTACTCCCGTAGATTTCAATGTACTTAAGATAGATCTTAGGACCGGATATTGGCAATAATTATAACTGTGTGAATTCGTCACGTTTTTTTTTTATTTCTGGTCATTTATCCTCTTGTTTTGCTTATGAAATGAAAGGTCCTCACTATTTTCAGTTCTTGCGATCAGCTACCTGGTTGGTTTGTAGGTAAATGAAAAATTAACGTCCGCTTCCAGCGTAATCTAGTAGACTAACCTCCTCCTACCTTACCCAAACATTCTTTATAGAGATCACGTATAACCAGTGGCGGAGCAATAACTAAGTTATTCCGGCAACCTCAGGTATGT